TTGGATTAGAAAGAACCCATTAAAGGTTATGGTTTCAACATACAATTTTGAGGGGAAAGAAAAACATTCAGCCCATAGCAGTGGGATTGACAGCAGATTAGATATCGTAGGGAAAACAATTAATGGATTTTAAGATATAGCAATAGAAACATTCCAGAATTAATTCACAGGGGTAAGCACTAGTGTCGGTTAGGAGGCAGAAAAGTCATAGGCCACAGTGTTTTGGTATATTCTGCAGGAAAGGCAGGGCAAGGCAGAGTCAACAGTTTAAGATTGGCCAGTTTGAATAATTCCAGCAGGCTTTGGGAAGTAGGGGTTACCCCAGGTTGTCTGGTACCTGACCCTGGGTTGACATAAGGTAGGGGAACTATTGGCCTGATGTGTGAGAGTTAGAGGAAGAAGGTGGTTGTTGTATTGATTCTGGATTGTGTAGTTTGTATATAAATGGCAGGCTCACTGACAAGTTGTTTCCCTTCTCTAGGAATCTGCTAGCCCTAGGAGGGACATTCTCTCCCCAGCCAGCAAGGACTCCTAAGGATGTCAAAACAACATAAAACATAGAAAATAAAAAACATGAATAATGCAGTTGGTCCTCTGAAATCTTGACAACAGATTAAGCAAGCTTTGGGGTGATGATTATAGAGACATTTAGAAAGCAGGACATTTGTTTCTTTAAACAGTATAGAAAATATTTTATCATGAAAATGGAAAGAAGGAATACAAGTAGGAGTACAAAGAGTCTTTGTTGTTCATCCCATAACTAAGTTTCCCATTTTTATGGCATTACCCAGGAAAATAGAGCTGAAATTTTGGGGAGTCTCTAAAAATATTTCGATGGAGTTGTAAAACATGTTAGAAATATGCTAAGATCAAGGTGGCAGGTCCATCAGTTATGTTGTTGGAGGGTATGGACTCCTAATTTAATAAAGATTAGTGATATTTGTGTGTAATCCAAGGGAATGAATGGTAATGGCTGGCGATGCAAGGCAGGAATTCACAATGGAGGAGTGTAGTCGGAGAAGGCACTACTCCTATCCTTTTAAGGGTCAAGAAATTGACTGATATAAAGCAGGTACCTTCTGGGGAAAGCAATAATCTCTGTTATTTTTTAGAATGGCAATGTTAGTAGTAAACTCTACCAGGTTTCTCTTTAGGCACGGGAGTGTAGTGTATATGCTTGGCAGAGAGCAAGCAGTATGCCAGGATCATGGACTGAGCAGACAGCAAGCTCAGAAACAAAATGGAATGTCTAAGTTAAAGGAAGACAAACAAAAGTCTCCTATGTACAGTTGGTGCCTTTCAAGAGACAGTTGACGGGTATCACAGACGTGGAGATTTTACTGTTCAGGTGAAGTCATCTCTGGTACAGGAAGTGAAGCCATCTGCATTGGTTGGGTTGTTGGTTGGGGCCATGTCATCTGACATTATGGCATCTCCAGCAGTGAGCTCCTGGGTCAGGGTGACACCATCTGGAATGTAGAGCTTGAGATACCCTTTCTCAAGTGGATACCCACTCAGGTTGAGGTAGGTCTCAGCATTTTCTGTGCTTGGTTGAAACCATGGCTTATTTGGAGGATTTGGTCCTCCCAATTGTAAACAAATTAAGGCACTCAGAACATTTGTAATAAGACAAACAGTCAACAGATAGGGGTGCAGCTGCATTTCACATGGTTTTGGTTTTTGTTTATTGATGGAAGTTTAAGTTGAAATTTGTCTCATATCAGATGAGTGGCTATCTGGCCTATGGGACAATCTATAGTTAATGCATCCCAAGACAGCATGTACCTCAATCTGGCCTCTAGCCCTTGTGGGATGGTGGTAAGAATGAACACTTATCAAGCCAGGTTAAGGCTTGGGGCAACATAGAGGCTCATTTGGTAGGAGCTCTATCGGACAGTAATTTGAAAACGAGTTTATGAGGAGACCATGATATCTCTCAGATAAATTGGCTCTCTGGAACATATTAGGGACATGAAAGTTCTATTGAATGCTTCCTCCAAGAACCCAGATTAAGTATTTTGAAAAATAAAGTGTGTCTTGTTTATTATGAGTAATGTTTTTAGCTTCAAAAAGGATAAAGTGTTGGGATAAGAACTTTTATTGTGGCCATAGTATATATGCAGACATGGTTTTGAGTTATATTTTGGTTATCTGGGAGGCAAGAAATTTCCAGATGTTTTTACCTGAATGGGACAATTTCTACACACTGGCCCAATAGTTTCTAATCAATGTGAAGATGAGAACTTTTGTTGGCCACGGCATTCAGGGCTAAGATGACTGCCTGAAGCTTGGCCAAGTCTGTTCCTTCGGTACTGTCCTTTACCAGGGATATCCTGGTTAAGGGATGAAAAACAGCAACATTTCACTGAGCTCTACCATGTAGGATGGTCAGCAGTGTCATCCACACAGTCTGCGAACTTCCATTACTGTTCACTTGGGGAATCCCAAGGGCTTCCAGATAGCCAAGGGCTCTGTAAGAGGGGTGACCTCCTCCGGCACTCTGGCATGTGCCACAAGTCTGAGGATAGACAAAGCTACCCACTCCTGCAGGTAAAATATGCCAGGGGGCCTAAGTTTGGCTCCATCATGACCTAGGGAAGCCTCAGTAGCTGTACTGAGCTCGTGGAGTGCAGTTTTCATTACCAAAAGCATGATGGGAAACTTGGAATACAGTCACAAGCTTGGAGATTGTGAAAGCCTCTGTTTCCAGGAGAGCTGAATAGGTAGGCAGCAGCTGTTGTTTTAATGGAATACTGCATGAAGTCACAAGGGGAAATTTTTTGTATCAGAAACTCTGGGGCAAGTAATGGTCATAAGTGGGCCAGAGATGCCAGGAGGCACGAGAAGATAGAAGAGAGGGGAGGAGAAGGGGGAAGAGGGAGAGGAGGAGGAGGAGGAGGAGGAGGAGGAGGAGAGGAGAGGGGAGGAGAGGAGAGATCTGTAGACTGTATTTTGAAGAAAACATGTTTTAAGTTAATTTTTTTTTCCTTTAAAGATCACGATTTTTTTATTATTATTCCTTAGAAATCTTCAAGGCCACAAAGATTTCTCTCTCTCTCTCTCTCTCTCTCCTTCCCTCTCCTTTTCTCAGATTGGAAAGTGAATACTTGCAAAACAAAGGACTTGTTTCTAGACTATATGAAGAATTTTCAATCTTCATTAAGAATATAACTCATTAAAAACATACAAAAGAGTTTAACAAATACTTTAAAGAAAGTAAAATAAATGTATAAATATATTTGATTAGTCATTAGGGAAATGATATTTAAATCACAATAAAATACCATTTAATACCTATTCAAATGCCTGAAATGAGGTGAGACAGGGAGAAGGTGGGGAAGCTGACCATACAATATGTCTGTGAGGATGTAGAGGAACTGGAATTCTCATATATTCCTAGTGGGAATATAAAGTGGTGCAATTACTTTGAAAAACAGTTTGGCATTCTCTTAAAAATTTAAATATTCCATACTACATGATACACCCATTCCACTTCTAGGTATTTACCCAAAAGAAATAAAGGTATATATTCACAAAAAGATTTGCACACAAATGTTCATAGCAGCTTTATTTGTAATAGTCCAAACCTGGAAACAACCTAAATGCCTATCAATATGGGATTGCATTAATACATTTCAATGTATCCATAAAATGGGCTAGTACTGAGCAATAAAAAAATAAACTATTGACACATGCAAAAACATAGCTAAATCTCAAATTGTACTGAGTGAACAGAGAAAGAGCATACAAATCGAATGATTTTATTTATATACAGTTCTAAAAAATTTGAATTAACTGATAGTGACAGAAAGCAAATCAGTGATTGCTTGGGGATTGGGGATTGGGGATAGGAAGGGGGTGGGGACTGGGGAGAAAGTTCAAAGGAGTGCAAGTAAATCTTGGTGGTAGTGGATAGACTTAATATCCTGATTGTGGTGATGATTTCATGGGTGTATATGTGTGTCAAAATGTATCAAAATGTGCACTTTAAACTTCAGTAAAGCAGTGTTTTAAATGGCAATTTATGAGAGATATGTGGAACAATTATTATATTGAAGACCTAATAAAATCCAAAGCCTAAAAATCAGACTTCCTTAATCAAAAGAGTGGAGAGAGTGTCACTAAATTTTTATTTTTATTTTAATTAATTAATTATTATTATTATTTTTTGAGATGGAGTTTCACTCTGTCGCCCAGGCTGGAGTGCAGTGGCAATCTCGGCTCACTGCAAGCTCTGCCTCCCAGGTTCACATCATTCTGCCTCAGCCTCCCGAGTAGCTGGGACTACAGGTGCCTGCCACCATGCCCGGCTAACTTTTTTTCTTGTTTTTTGTATTTTTAGTAGAGACGGGGTTTCAGCATGTTAGCCAGGATGGTCTCCATCTCCTAACCTCGTGATCCGCCCACCTTGGCCTCCCAAAGTGCTGGGATTACAGGTGTGAGCCACCGCGCCTGGTCCACTTAAATATTTTTAAAGTCAGGAAGAAAATGTGTTGCTTTTGATAGGTAGGTAGATGAATTGACAGATGATAAGTGATAGAATAGATGATAGATGATAGAGATGGATGGATGGATAGGTAGGTAGATAGATTAATTGATAGGGATACACAGATGATAGCTGATAGATGAATAGATGATAGATACATGATAGATATAGACAGATATAGATAGATAGATAGATAGATAGATAGATAGATAGATAGATAGATATGTATGTTGTTGCGTTATTGTGCCATTCATTGAGGAAATATAAATAGATAAATATTCAAATAGTAAATGGAATGAATGAATGGAAGTAGATGAATGAGCTGGAGGTGGGTGAGCAAAGGATAGGCAAATGGAATTGATAGATTGGTCAGTTGAGTAGATTGACGATAGATAGATAGATAGATAGATAGATAGATAGATAGATAGATAGATAGACAGATTGATTGACAGGGATAGACAGATAGATTGATAGATTGATTGATTGATAGATTGACGGGCTAGATAGACAGGAAACCGCATAGTTAAAACAAATGAGATGTCCTTCCTCTCAGCTATTTAGCTATCACAATAAACTCCATAATATAGGAGGATCCTCATTTTACAGTGTGGGAAAAGTCAGGTAGAGGGGTGTCAATGCCTGGGGCTGTAAGGATCCAGGAAGTCAATGTCTGAGCCCCTTTGCATTACGTCTCCTGTCTGTGATATAGCTGGAAAGGGCTGGAAGGGCTGAGAAGAAATCCCTCCTCTCCCATCCCTTATGGCCAGAGCTTTGTCACTCTCAGAAGACACTTAACAGCAGACTCATATTTCTCATTTAACCCCTGTACAGATTTAACCATGGCTACCCAGGATCGTAACATGAATTTGTTGAAAGTTCAGAATGTTCTCAGCATATGATACAGCAACTCTGCAGGGAGATTTTAGTTCATTTTGTGGCACTTCTGCTGCTCTAACAAGATATACAATAGCACTGAACTACTCATCGGATGATTTCCAGGAACAAAGCACTTTGCAGATCTATTAGGAAGACACAGGGTCAATGCCTAATGCTTCTTCTGCACTCCAGGATTTGAACCTTGCAGTTTTCCATTCTGGCCTGGCCAGGCTCTAAGGGAAAGAATAAGGCTTTTAGTTTGGGAAATAAGTACGAAGAAACAGTTATAAAATTTCATAATGGGAGATAGTGTTTCTCCTATTAGGCCCCCAAAACTTTTACCACTGAACATCACTCTTGGTTTCGAACAGCAAGACTGAAATAATTATTTGGTGCTTCTTTTTTAAAGTTAAAGATTCAACCAAGAAAAAGAAAAAGTTGCAGAACAGAAGGAAACCCTCCAATAATTTACACTGTGTAATACTAATGTCTCCCTAGGAAAAAAGAAGCAAAAGTTTGAGTTAATTGTATTAGTTTGGTATGTCTGAATAGTTAGGTAAATCTAAAAAATGATCATACTGCTGAAGAATTTTTGTTTCTTAGTTTTTCTACCTGTGCCTGCCCCACCCCAATGAGACCCTGGGACCTTATGCATGCCTAAAGTAATAGAGAAAGGGGAGTCTAATATGCAATTCTGGAGGATTTGTGTGTGCAACAATAAAGAATTAGTATTATATCTGATTTCTTTTTTTTGAGACAGAATCTTGCTCTGTTGCCCAGGCTGGATCTCAGCGGCACGATCTCAGCTCACTGTAACCTCTGCCTCTTGGGTTCAAGCAATTCTCCTGCTTCGGCTTCCTGAGTAGCTGGGATTACACGCACGTGCCACCACGCCTGGCAAATTTTTGTATTTTTTAGCAGAGACGGGGTTTCACCATGTTAATTGGGCTGGTCTCAAACTCCTGACCTTGTGATCTGTCCACCTCGGCCTCCCAAAGTGTTGGGATTACAGGAGTGAGCCACTGCGCTTGGCCTGTATTTGATTTTTTATGAGTAGGATAGCACTTACATTATCAAGAAGCTGAAAATACCACAAATTTGGCTCTGACACTCCTACTAGTCTTAAATTATCAAGTTAAACATCAGACAGAGAAAAATATTACCATCCATTCATAAGAGAGTTTTGGAGACATCTAATATTCTATGAGTTGTATGGAGGTAGGGACCAGGAGGAAGTTTTCACATATAAATGGATTATGCACTTATCCAATTCACGTTTTGATTAGTAAATCTTTCTATAGTAACTGAGGTCTTTTGTCGTATCAATGGGGCTTCAAATTCATTGTCCACCTCAGGTTGTAGCACCTTGAGGAACTTTCTCAGGGATTCTAGTAAGTTCTGTGAGTATATCATGAAAATCTATAAATATAGCCCATATATCCTTGACTCTAGTTTTTTTTTTTTTTTTTTTTTTAAAGAGGAGGAGCTACCATTATCTATGATTTTATCTAAATCTTCTGGAATATTTATGTGTTCATTATCTTGTACCATTACTATAGTCCCTAGGGTTCAAAAACATGCACTTGGTTATAAATGATTAAACTAATATGGTACGTTCTATAATTTAGGATTTCATTTAATTCTCACAATAACTCTGTGTGGTAAGTACTATTATTGCTTTTTTTTAACAGATAAATCTGAGGCATTGACAAGATAAGTAAATTTAATCAAAGCTAGTTGATGCTAGAATTATGATGTGAATTCAGAAATTATTATTTTAATAGCCTGCATGCTTAATCACTACACTATGTTTCAGAGATAGTCATTCTCTACTGTTTTATAAGATTTACAGAAACGTTGTACACTGATCCTATATATCATCATGAAAAAATCTTTACTGTAAATAATTAAAACTAATTCAAGAATTGGTTCCACCACTAAATGTATTAATTTTTAGGCATAAATCTATCATGTTTTGGAAAAAATCCATATACATAATATAATAATTATTACCATATGATTTTATTTAGAACTGAAATAACTGTTAATTATAATATTTTATTTAAAAATTAAAATAAATTTTAATTTATTTCTAAGGAATACTGTAGGAGAGACTTTATGCTAGTTTGACCTTCCTTGGGCTTTAAATTTCAGTCGAACTTTAAATAGAGCAAATTTAAATATAACTCTGTCTCTGACTAACAGACAGAAAAAAAAAGGAGTCATTGGATATAGCAACTTTGTTGATAAAGATGTTGCTGTATCAATAAAAAAGACTGTCTTTGTCTCCAGGCCTCACCTTTGCTTGTTACACAATGATATCCTACCGCTGGCGGGAATGATAAAAACCAGCAATGCTATGTCTGTGGTTCAACAGCTCCTAAAGCTGTTTACTTGAAGTAACAATACTTTCCACTGTGCATTGTGAGTGAAGAACTGAAATGAATGTACTACCATTGCATTTAATTGGAAGATTTAGTCAGGCAGGCAAGAAAATCCCCTAACCAGAATAGCGACATGTGGGCTAGTAGTGTTCTAGCCACTAGTAATTGCTTAATGGTACAGAGAATCCCGGTGAAAAGCCCATGAGATATTCTTACTATTAGTGTAAACTGAATTCAAAGCTTTGGTTTGCTTGCTTGGGTATTATGTGCACTTATGAGATTAGATTAATAATAGCCCAAACGGGTTCTGTTATGGCAAGTACAATCTTAATGTCTCATGGCTTTAACCATATTATTTCAGCAAGTCCTAGGTCTTAAATGAACCTCATTATTACAATCTAAGTGACTTTGAATGAATTCAATCTCATAACAGAAAAATGTCTAAACCTCCCCTTCCATGTCTCCCATTTTTCTATGGTTCTATAACCCTACCCCCATATTCAGAACTTTGAGGGATCTTGTAAACTATACTTCACTGTAAAGACCTTGGCTCACTCAATTTTCAGTATGTTCACAGCTCTCTTCATTCATGTAGACTCTTTTCTATCTTTGTCCACAGGTATTGACTTGTGTTAAGCCCAGTCATCTTTCTCTGGATGGAGATTAGAAGTCTGCTGGCAGGCATCTGGGATGTTAGACCTTGGCTCTCTAGTTGCTTCAACTACAACGGTCATATTTATTTACCTTGGATGCTGAAAATGGTTAAGAGACTCACCTGCCTCTTATATCAAATTGTAACTCAATTTACCTGAATAATTGGTGACTTCGTGTTTGTCATTAAATGCTTTCTTAACTTCTCTTACCCTTCTCATTTATCCCTATTTGTTAAGATCATCTTATAAAGGTTTGCAGCCCTAACACTTAGCAGTCCCATTAGATCTTTTCCTTTATGCCCTGTGCTTTAGGACCAATCCAGCCAATCACAGCTCCCACCTAGTGCTTGTTCACATCTTTCACTGCCCTTTTATGCCTATGGTGTTCACTTCACTTCAAGCCCATGCCACTGTATGTCTATTTAACTGCTCATTTCTGGAATGGCCTTGCAAACTCATCTCCTTTCTCCTCGTTGTGCATGGTTGCCAGTCCAAAGTGTCTTAAGACAAACAAACAAACAAAAATCCAACTAATGATTTAATACCGTCAGGTTTCAGAGCACGTTCTTACACTATTTTTATAATGCAGGTTTTCCCACCTGAATGTGTATTCAGGAGATTCAGAATGTCCCAAGTGGAGGAGGCTTGTTTGGGAAGCCAAAGGTAGTGTATGGACGGTAACTGGGGGCCTGTGAGTGTATTGCCTCTTCCAGTTCCACCATATGGCCACCTCCATCTCATAATTTCCCATCTCAGAAAAGGTACAACTTCATTAGGATGGCAATATATACATAAGGTGTCATTAAAGAGCCTATGTAAGTCACAGCTAAAAACATATATGGGAAAAAATAAAGTTCAAAATGATTGTCCAACAACCATGAACTGTTCAAATAAGTTATGTTGTATCACTGAATCATATATGTTATGCTTTCAAAGATAATTTATTGCCATAAAGAAATGCTTATGATACAATGTCTCGAGAAAGATATAATTGTAGTAGTTACATTAGTTCTGAGCCTTCATTGAATGCTTAGCTGTTTACCTAATTTCCTTTTTTAAATGTTCACTGCAAAAGCAAGATACAAAACTGTTCAAACTGGGAATTTTTTGACTTGTCTGCATTTTTTCTAAGTTTAGTAAATGAGCACTATATTAGTTTATTAGTCAGAAAATATTATTTCAAAAAGCTAAATATTAATTCAAGCCCAAACACGATGAGGCATTTCATTTATATCTTGTCATAGAAATCTTGTAAGTGCCCTTAAAGGATCATTAAACACACCCTTTTATAATCGTTTGTACACTTCACTGGAATATATATACCCCTCACTAAAATGTAAGTTTCTTGGGGGAAGAGCCATGTTTATGTTTTAATACACTGCTCGACACAATGGGCCTTCACAGAATGTCCATAGACACAAATTATCTGTGCTCATCCTGATAGGAAAAGCCTGTTTTCTAAATTTTCTACAATCACATAGGGAGCAAGAAAAAAACTATTTTAAAAGTGATTTTGATTGTTTCTAGTGAAAAATATCAAGAGGAAAACAGTCAAATAAGAAAAATGTGCCCAGAAGCTGAGCCCTCTTATTAACAATGTGGATATTAATTTATAATATGAAACAATACATGTGCATAACTTAAAAACTCAGAGTATCCAAAGTAAAAAGTAACATCCTTTTTTTATAACAACCCCCACCAGACTTTAACTGCAACTAGCATACATAATTTCTTATGATTTATTCCAGAGGCCCTAAACATTTGTGAATGTATTAGATTATGCAAAACACATGGAGATATACATAGATTTGTTTATATTATTTATAATAGTAGAAATAAATATATATGAAAAATTTGTGTCTATATGAAAAATATGTGTGTACATATCTAAATATATATACACTTAATGAAAAATATTATGTACACATCAGAAAACAATCCTGTTGTGCTTGATTTTTTTTAATTTAACATATCAGCAATCTTTCTTTTCAGAAAAGTGTATCATTGTGCACTTTATTTTTTTATTTAATGTATCTAGTAATCTCTATTCAGTGGACTTTATTATAATATAACACCCCTTTATTGGCAGATACTTTGGTTATTGCCAAAATTATTTTTAATGCTTTTGTAAAATATATATATACAATTAATATATGTGTGTCTTAGATACATAAAGTTGATATGTATATAATACATATAACACATATTTAAATTATATATGAAAGTTAAATATATGTATATGTATGTATATGCATAACTGTGTATTTCTGTTTGTGTAACTTATAGCACTCCTAGTAGAGGACTCTTTTTAAATATGGAAATGCATTAGTAAATTGCTACTCAGAAAGTTTATAGAAAGTGGCAGCCTGGCTCCACCCACTTCAGCACTGGGGAGAAACCAACCTTAGCATTCGTTTCATCAGAGAGATAAAAAATGGTAACCTGCTGTTATTTTAATCTGCAATTTAAAAAATTCTGAGTAAAACTGAGAATCGAAATATATTTATTGGCCATTTGTATTTACTTCTTTGTAAATTGCTAGTTTTCTATCTTTTTTATTGATTTGTTTGAGCTTTTATTAGTTAAAATAATAGACCTTTGTGAAAAGATGAATTATTTTTTCCCTGGATTGACTCTCCTTAGACTTCTAAACACGACAGTGTGTACTTGTTATCCAGAATATTTTTAGTCACATATATCTAGCATTTTCTAGTATGTGAATTTTGTGTTTATTAGGAAGATCTACTCATCCCCAGATGATTCAAAACCATTATTTTTTTTCTAAATGGTTTATAGTTTGGTTGATTGATCCGGATTTTTGTTTTATTTTGTTTTGCTATATAATTAGTCACTTTCCCCTCTCCCCTCCTGTATCCCCTTCTAAGAGTCGCACTTGAGTGATGAATTTTCGGTAGCCTGAGAATTTGCTGCAACCTCAGTGGTTAGAACGAGTATCTGCCCTTTCCTCTTGTTAAATGTCTATTTTCAAGATTGGCTTCTCAGGGACCTACTTGACTCTAGTAGGAGGTACAGTGTGGGCCCCTGGAAACTTTGTACCAGCGATAGCACTGATTGTTTACTTTCCTCTTCATTGTCACTTCTATTAACTCAAGTGGCAAAAGACTTTTGGCTTCTCCCCTGATTGTGCAAAAGGCTGGGAGGAACCGCATGTGGGTCTCTCTACACTGTATGCCTCTCTGCCCACCTCAGCTGACCCTAAGGCTTTGCAGCACCTCCCCGCTTGGCGCTTCGTGTAATATCTCCCGCCATCTTTACTTAGTGATGTGGATGATTGGAAGCTTCTGGCCACCAGCCCTTTCCACAGTTTGAGTACTGCTGATGTAGTTTTGTCATTGCTTGTTTGTTTTAATTATTCTCTTGTAGGGATGTCAGGGGGAGGGAGTGGGAAGCATTTGAGATCTGGCTTTACTCCTCTATCTTAAATAACAGGAAGTTCAAACTATTGTAATCATTTTTAAATCATCCACTGCCATGGGAAAATGGCTAAAATAAATAGCCCACAGCAATCATTTCTATAAAGAAAACTGTGTCTCTTGAGAAAAGATACTAAAATCCAAGAAAAATTTTAAAAGGAAATTTCAATCAATGTTATTAATTGGTCCATATTAACATAGAACTATTTCTTATTCAAATCTTCTTTGGAAGTAACAATCCTCATCAAATTCTTCAAAAAATATCTAAACCTGAGAGTATATAACATTAATTCTTTTTGTTCCTGCTTTCAATCATCACAGAATCTGGCAGAAACAACATAAAAAAGTTATGAACCAAGAATACTAACATAGCAATGGAATACATGAATTTTTTTTTCCCATGGCAATTCAACAGCTGTTCTATGGGGATCAAATACCTCTACCATTAAACAATACAGGAAATTAATAATTTCAAGCACAACTTAGATCACTGCTTTACTTATGAGTTTTCAGGCCCAAATCAGATTTTAAGTGTATGTGAGCAGGTTTCAAATAAATGTTAAACAATTGTATTGCTCTAGGAATAATTTGACAACATTACATATGTAAGCATTAACATTTTTGTATTAAAGTCAGATTCAAAAGACCATCATTGGAAGTGTATTCTTTACCTGCTTTTCGAATTCTTGATTTCTCTTCCTATTGAGAACAGTTGCATTTTCACAAAGCTCTTTGATTGTGTGTGTGTGTGTGTGTTTAACAGATAGATAAATCTGAGTTCAGTGTTTAGTTTCTGACTCTATATCAGCTTCATGTTTCTCACTTATACAAGGCCTGTGGAAGATGCCCTCCAGGACAAATTTTCTTCTGTACCTTCAAAGATGAAAGACGTCTACCAAAGGGATAAAATTTGCCTCAAGCTTTCAAAAATGTGATATCCAAGTTCATTACTTGTGCTCCATTCCAGTCAACTGGAGTCAAATCCACATAGCAGAATCACCACCCGAGACCTTGTCTGCCATTTAGAAAATGACTTCCCAAACCACAGAGGGTTAATTTGGAGCCCACCTCTCCATACATGGGTTTGTTTTTCTCTCTGAAGAGTCCAAGCCAGTGATAACCAGGGCAATATCTTGTTGGACACTGATATTTCTGCTGTCAAAAAAAAACAAAAACAAAAATAAAAATGGATAACTTTTTTTTTTCCCCAAAACCTCCCATACAAGGTCCCAAACTACCGCCCTGGGCCTATGGGTTCCTCTCAAGCTACCAGATTGCACAATGTACTATCACAGAATGTCATATTAGAGCCCTGTTCCAGTCGCATCCAATAAGTAATCTGGCATGAAGAAAAGTTAACTGAATTAGTAGCCAGTTGGGACACTTTGTGACCTACTCTTTAGGAACCAAGTCCTCTGAACTTTTCCATTCCGCTTTGCCTTCATACTTTAATAGGGACCGAATCTCCATTAACAATTGAACGGCGACAATAAGTGCCATCAGGAAAAGGAAATTCAATTTTCGTGGGGGATGACAGCCTTACCTTTTCGCGCTTAATTGGCCGTATTGTCTCCAAAAGTTAATTGGTTACTTAGTCCAGGTAGTTAGTAAAATGTTTAGCTGCGTCAAAAAGCTCAGGCTCCCACTGTTAATGGGGCATGAAATGGAATGTTTGATACTGCAAATAAAATCAGTGATATTCAAGGATGTTATGGTAGGTAATGCGTTGAAACTGCCATTTAATGGGTCCTGGAAGATTAGGGTAGTGTCAGCCGGAACCGCCCGGTCTCTTTTCTGACATTGTTAGTTGCCTCTTCATTTACTTAACGGCTGTCTGCACTGATTACATAGGCATAAAACTCCCTACAAAAAAACAACAGAGACACGCTCTATTAGCAGTCCAATTAGAACTATTTGCATATTACAGTTCATTTCTGCTTAAGTGAATCCCTAATACAACTTTAGGAAAAAAAAAAATTCTATTGTGTCATTTGAAAGAAAGAGAAAAGAAAAGCCTTAAAGGTGATCTCTCCTCCTTTCCTTTTCTCACTTCATTTCTCTCTCTCTCTCTCTCTCTCTCTCCCCCTCCCCCCCACTCTCTCTCCCTCATTTCAGATATTATCTATTTTGAGTTGAAAAACAGAAAATAACAACTTCGAACTTGAGACGATGTTGTTGAGATTTGTGGAGACTAGAGCACTCTTGTGATAATTCAGTCCTTCTGCAAAAATCCAGACCAATGTCACACATGACTGTTATGCTTCACTTAGAGGTGTCTACTTTTGAGATATGTTTACAGTTTGTTTTAAATCCACGTTGCTTTGAATTTTCCAGCAAAGATGTTAATCTCTGTAACAACATCCCAGGCAGGGCAGAGTCCTTTTTGTGGTGTCCCTTACCTGCACAATTACGGAGAGCAGAACATGCGGTTCTGTATCTGTCTCTGTGCCACTAAAGGTTCTGACTATGTACACCTGGGGTATTGTCAGCTGCACATAATACCAACACACGTGAAATCAATTCCCTTTCACACAGGTAAGGACGGTGACAAGTAGGGTTAAAAGCAAAACTGGAGACTTCACTTTACCAGACATTTCTCTGATTTTCCAAATTTTAGTCCTTAGAACTGTCATCATTTGATGGCTACTTATAAAGGCATTAGGGACACTTTATTTGCATTATTATTATTAATAATGATGACTATATAGCAACCATAGGGTTTTTATTGAAGTTGGAAAGGAATCTTTCTCTAGCATAGGCCCTAATAAACTACTGAATTAAAAGCAGCACACTTTCTTAAACTGATGCTTGAAGTATGTAGAGAGTGTTTTAAGATAGCAAGCACAGTTTACAACGAATGTTTTCAAGATGCTCCATGGACATTCACATAATTCCCCAATCTCACTGAGTCCTGTGAGTTTATGGGAGACTGGGAGAGTATAGGAATAATTATTAAATGGGAAAAGAAAAGAGAGTGTTGGAAAGGAGAAATGGCTCAACTGCACTGAGTCTCTGGTAAGTAATGCAGGTGACAGGAAGAGGACGATGATGGCCCACTGGGTACCACTGAGAGTTTCAGTGAATGGTCAGGCAGGAGGGTAGCCTGGACTGTAGGGGAATAAGGATGCCAGTGTAGGAAGTTTCAAAGCACTTGGCATCTCATGGCAGTCACTATGGTTGACCGCAATGGTTATAATGATGGTTTTTCAATCTAATGTTGAACATTTTATTTGGGATGCACATACAACTCCTTCAATTTAAAAAAAAATACAGAAAGTGCAAGACTGGAAATCACCCTCCAAACATCTGGACTGGACAGCAGAAGAGTAAGAAGCATGAGAGGGAAGGGAGTTTGGTATTTTGGGGATTATCGTGATGTCAGCAATTCATGTTGCTGGTAAGTTTCCCTTTAGACGAAGTCCTGGCTTCCACCCCGAGCTTACAGCCATGCCCTCGAATTTTCTCAGGCCTGGGACCAATGAAGACCCCTATGTCTGATGAATGTTCCTCTTGCCCTGAATGGACTCTAAGATGAGATATGTCAATGGGGATGCATTACAGCCGTTTGATTGGTCCTGAGGGTAGTTACCTAGAAGAGCCATGCAACACCTTTGATGTTCACACACTTACACTAATACCCACAGAGTTTTTCCAACACTCACATCACCCACTTCTCTTTTGTCCGGCAAACCTAATTTCACAGGTCAGCCCCCCCTCCACAATTCTCTGAATTTGCAAGTCACTGGAGGAGTTCAGGTGTTGACCATGACACATGGGAGTAGAGAGATGGAGATTATTAAAAGTGACAAATAAACTATTCAAGAAATACGAACAATTCCTAACTGGCCCTTTTTCTTGTTCATCTCTAAGCCACCATTTTAAGTGTAACAAGTACACAATTGTAAGGAAAAAGCAGAGAGGAAAGACAGCAACAACAATAGCAGCCACCCAACCCCAAAGCAGTGTAAACAAACCAAACAAAAAAGCCTATCAGAGGGGAAGGCAAAATCCTCGATCTGTCATTTTCAATTCTTTTCACCGCAGGAGCAGAGGCACAGTGTGAAACGTGCTGGCTCTGGTATTGTTTGGTCGCCCCGGTGGGTCCTCTGTGCCCTGCCTCCTGCTTTCATCCAGCTCTCATTAACACTACCTACCAGATGAGCACCGTCAGAGGCAGAGGCGGACACGCCGGCCCATTGCCTGGGTGCAGCGGCCCTGCCAAGGGTGGCAAGGCAGTGAGTGCCAGGGAGAGTGAGCCAGACAACTTCGAGACACATACTTTTGCCCCTGAAAGCAGTCGTTGCACCCCGCCAGGAAAACAGCTCTCTGGAAAAGCACTGCCTGCTAGTAAAATGGACTAAATCAGTAAACAGTGATTAAGGCTCTGGCTCTGCGACTGTTGTCGCCACCTCAGACACGTGCTTCTCCTCCCTCCACACACACACACACACACACACACACACACACACACACACACACACACAGAAAAAAAAAAAAAGAAGAAAAAGAAACACCAAGCAATAGAGCCAAACTTGAGATCCAGAGGGAGTGGGCTGAAGAGTTAAGGAGAAAGAACAATTCATGTTCCTTGAAGGGGAGATGCTGTTTTCCTGAAAAATGAAATGAATATTTCTGGATATTCATTTCTCTCACTTTTTTTTTGGACTTGCATTGAGAATTGGCTTTCTAAATAAAACATCAAGCAATGAATGTAGGCAGTAGGTTGTTCAATTTAACATCTATTCCTTATTTGTCTGATTCAGCAATGTGCAGAACATAATCTAAACCCTCCAATAGGTGGGATAAACAGAAGCAGCATAACATGTCTTGATGTGTGCTGTTTAGTAGAAACATGTCACGTCATCAGATTGCTTTCTTGAGTCAGAAGAATAAATCCTACATACACAAGTATACATACATATGTACCCTTTGATCTTCCTATGTATAGATACCGACAGATGTCATATGTAAATACAATTACATAATTTCATGCTTTTAATTTTTTTATATAATGCTATAACCATAATAATTTAAAATATGTTGTAGCTTTCACCATGAAAATGTGTTTACATGGAGCGTAGGCATTGTGCCTGTGCTTCGAACCCAGCAAAGAAGGTTGACTGGAACTCTAGAATACAGGAGTATAATTCAAAAAGACCCTGACAACTTGGAGAAATGGTCAGAAACAAGCAGAATGAGGTCTTCTGAGTGCAGGGTCACACAACAGAGAAGGAAAGAAACCAATGAACTCCACAAATGGGGATCTAGGGTTGGCAGCAACTCCCAGGCTGACTGTGAATCAGAAGTATGGACTGTGTGGACTAGTGGACTCCTGAGCAGCTGCTGCACCCTGTCAGGCCCCAATACGAAACTGCATGTAGCCTTGGCCCACCCAACTTGATCCTGGTTCAAGATGGAATGATTCAAAGTGTATGAAGAGGAGTCCAAGCAGGACATATTAATCAAAAGGAAAAAAGGCCAACCCTCAAAGACTTAATGTCCACACAAACATAGATGGTAGTCCTCAAAGGAACTTGCCATATATTGTATGGATTATTTCTCAAACACCTCTAAAAACAGCAGCTAGTAAAAAACAACTCAATTTATTGTTGGAGAAACTCAAAATCGGTGCCCCCACCAAATCTCCTGGTGAAATGTAATCCCCTGTGTTGGAGGTGGGGCCTGAGGGAAGTGTTTGGATCATGGGGGTGGATCTCTCATGAATGGCTTAAGGAGCCAGCCTCTTGATGAGGAGTGAATTCACGGGAGATCTGGTCGTTTAAAAGTGTGTGATATCTACCCCCTTCACTCATGCTCCTGGTCTGGCCATGTGAGATGACTGTTCCTCCTTTCGAAACCCTCCTGCCATGGCTGTACATTTCCGGAGGCTTCACCAGAGACCAAGTGGATGCCAGAGTCATGCTTCCTGTATAGCCTGGAGAACTGTGAGCCAATTAAATATCTTTCCTTTATAAATTACGCAGCTTCAGGTATTTCTTTATAGCAATGAAGAATGGCCTAACACAGGGGCACAGGGCATCTTCACCAAGTGTGGTCCCTGCAGCAATACTGATCACTGTTCATAGATGACACTGGGTGCTGGAAACAAGACACGGCAAAGGAAGAGGATATAAAGACTTGGGGAAAAGCCCAAGATGAAGAAGAAAGAGAAAAGGAAGAGTGTAAGTGCAGTTATGGATATACAACCGTGTGGGCAGTAGAGGCAGAAATTAATCCATGGACCCTGATTTTTTTTTTCAAATGCAGAATGTAATAATAACAGTAGAAATGACAGTAATAAATAATATTCACAGAGGTATCAAAATCTTTGTTGGCCATTAAGAATCTCTACTTTGGTCAACTCCAACACAGGGGATTAGATCTCAACGGGAGGTTTGGTGGGGACACAGATTTTGACAGTTTCTCCAACGATAAATTGAGTTGCTTTTCACTAGCTGCTGTTTTTAGGAAACTGAGCCCTATAAAGGTGTTTAACTTATTTTATTTGCCAGCCCACTATCTCCAGGGATTTTGACTAGCATTTAATTGTTTCCCTTTTAACAACAAATGTATTAAGAAAATTCTGTAAACATAGGCAAATCATTAACCCATTATAAGGTTTATTATTTCTCAGTCTAAATTGTGTTTGCATTTGTTTTTTGGAGTTGTGGTAAGAGCATTCAAAGTTACTGAAGTGTCTTGAGGTAGTGATTCTGGTTAATGTTTGACAGTGATCATCGTGGTAAGCCTTTGTGTGAGTGTGTCTGTGAAGGAGTGGCTACTTAACTTGCAGGGCCCAGTGAAAAATTAAAATGTGGGACTTCGACAAAGACCCAGACATCCCCTACCCAAGGACTGAACTC